TATTTGTTTATTTATTTATTTTGTGTGTGTGTGTGGCCAGCTCAGCCCATCAGGAGGCGGGGCTGGCTGGCATGTGGTGCTGGGGATTGAACCGTGGTCCCTGTGCTTTGCTTAGCTTAGCTTGTTCTAAGTAGGTGCTTTAGACCACTGAGTCATCTCACCAGCGCCAAAATCAAGTTTAAGAAGTTGATCACACAATAATCTATCCAGTAAGTATTTAAAAAAACTGTATGAAAGCATAATGTTCACAAGAAGCTTTGCATACAAACACATAGTCACTTTATCCACAATGTCAAATAGTTGGGTGCAAATTAAAACATCCACTCACAAGCAATAATTTTGTTAGTACAACAAAATATGACTCAGCCACAAAAAGGAACAAACAGGGATAGGGATGTAGCTCAACAGCACACAAGTTTGATACCTGGTACCAAACTAAAAAAGGAACAAATGGCTGGACAGTGAGTTCAAACACAGCCTAAACTACACAGTAAAGCCATCTCAAAAAAAAAGGGGAGGCATAGGGAGATCAAAATGCCATATACACAATTATGTGAAAAATTAAACATTGTGTTAAGAAAAGAGGGTTGGTCAAACAGATCAGTGGACTAAGAGCCTGCTTACGCAAACGCAGGGACCAGGGTTCCACACCTAGACATGTGCTGACATTGCAGTAGCTGCACACATGCGCACACACCTCTAATTCCAGCGCTGGAGAGGCTGACAACAGGAGGATCACTACAAGTCTGAGCTGTGCAGGGAGATACTGTACCAAATACTTTTTTTTTTTTGGCAGAACCGAGGATTGAGCTCAGGCTCTTGTGCTTGCCAAGGAAGCGTTTATTCCACTGAGCCATCTCCCCAGCCCCCTAAATACATTTTTTTAAAAAAGGAATACATATTACAGTATTCCACTGAACACTGGCAAGACCTTTTTTTTTTTTTTTTCCATTTATGTATTTGGTACAGGGTCTCACCATACAAAGCTCAGGTTCATAGTGATCCTCCTGTTTTAAATCTCACCAATGCTGGGACAACAGGCGTGCACCACCGTACCTGGGTTTGTCAGCTCAGCATGCCCCACAGGCGGGGCCACAAGGAGACCTTTCTAAAGTAACAAATTGGGCTGGGGACATAGCTCAGTGGAATAAGTGCTTGCCTGGCAAGTGCAAGGTCTGGAGTTTGAACCCTGGTACCACCAAAAAAAAAAAAAAAAAAACAAAAATAGGGCTGGCAAGATAGTTCAGCAGTCTAAAAGCATCAGCTTAAGCAAGCTTAGGCAGGCAAAGGGGACCAGAGTTCAATCCCCTACACCACATGCCTTGCCAGTCCCACCCTTAGGGCAGGGCTGAGCCAGCCAAAGAAAAGAGAAAAGGCTAAAGTAACAAATTAATAACTGGATTAGGGAAGAATAATGGGGAATAGCTGGGAAAGCAAAACTTTTGCAGAGTTAGCTATTTTTTTCTTTTTTAATAAAAAAGATAGTGCCTTGCTAAATCACTAAGTTGCCCTACTTGAATTTATGATCCTCCTGCAGCAATCTCCCAGTGTCTGGATTAGAGGAATGTGCCACCATGCCTGGCTTTTTTCTTTTTAATGAAGTCTCTTTCTGCAGTTCAGGCTGTCTTCTCCTGCCTCTCCCGCTGGAGTGTTGTGATTATACAAATACATCACAAACATCTGGCTTCAAATTTCTTATTTTATATAACTCCTAGGTCCAAATAAAAAATGAACAAAACTTCA